ACAGAAAGTAAGTAAAGAGTTGAGTAGCTAGAAGCAAACAAATATAGCAGCGAATGGATTCAGCACCCCAAGCCCCATATGTTCTGATTTTGTTTAGGGATGAAGGTTCTCAGAAAGAACATTTCCTCTTATTCTGAGTGTTTAAAAAATAATAATCAAAAAACCCTGTTAAGTCCCACAAAAGAAAGGTGAATACCAATCCTTCCCTTCCTGTGCCTCATAACTAGAAGGGAGAGCCTGTGCAGAGCATTACCCTAACTTTACGGAAGAGGAAAGGAAAAGATCTACTTCACTAGTACTACAAAATGGCAGGATGTGCCTGTGTAACTGTTTCCCTCACCCCTACTCTGCATTGTACCCTGTTAGGTGGGATCTCATGTATTTGTAAGTGTGGTACATCTGTACGGGCCAGTGTGTACTTCCCATGACTTAAATTGGCTGGTAAATCAGCAGGGATGTTGCTTTTAAATGTGAAGAGATGATTTAAGAAACTGCTTATGATACTAGAAATGTTAGTATGTCAACAAAAAACGTAACAAAAAATTACAATGATATGAATTATGCGATATGATAGGGACATGTGGTTTCTGTAAAAGAAAATCATGTGTTCTTCTGCTAAGATGTTTTGAGCATGTCAGGAAAATCATGGACTTAAGAATCAGTTGAAATTTATTTGGTCTTTAAAAAAGCCTTTGGCAAAGCTTCTCACTGAGAAGCTGCCAAATAAATTAAGCAATGTGATGTACTATGGCAAATTAGAAATTCACCAAGAGACAGTAAAACAAAGGGTAGGAAGGAATTAGCAATTTTAAGCATGACAAAAGGCTAACAGAGGGGTGTTCCATTACTAAGAGTGGAATTGTGCATATTTTAGCAAATGTGATCTGCACAAAATGATGACTGTGGGTAAGAGAATCGTAGACGATGCAACCTTATGTGCATGAATCAAGATTAGAAAAGGCAAAGCTTGAAAGGGAATAAAAAGAGGCTGGCTGACAGATAAACAAGGGGGCAAATGAAGTTATTGTTGACAAATACAAGGGACTGCACCTTGGAAACTGCACCTTGCTGTCTGATATAATGAACTGTAACTACTCAGGGAAAATATCTGGGTATCGTTGTAGATAGTTCAATGAAAACCTTTTCTTGGCATGCGCAGCAGTTGTTAAAGTACATTAGATATCTGAACGTAGAATAAAACAGAAACAACATTGAAAATATTACAATGCTATTACTAACATATGGTATGCTGTCACTTACGATATTCATTTCTGGTCACTGCATCAAAAAGACGTATCAGAAATAGAAGGGATTTTAAAAGCTGGCAATGAAAATGATTAGTGGGATGGCAAGAACTCCTTTTGAAGAAAGAAGCTGAAAAGAATGGTACTGCCAGGTATAGAAAGGAGGTGTGATCAAAATAACGCATGTGATAGAGATGATAAATTGAATGGCCTCTTCTTTTCTTTCTTGTACTGTGAGAATGAGGAGGCAGCAAGAGAAACTGAAAGACACAAATAAAAAAAAAAATAAATTTGACCAATAGATAATTTGTACCCGAGTCCTCAAACTAGGCCTAAAGTTTGTAAGGAGTGTATAGTTCTCTTGAAAATTATTGCATACATCATCAAGCACACACTGAAAAAACTGTAGAACCATGAAATATTGTTTGAGACTGGGAAGACTGTAGGGTTAAAATAAAGATGATACAAGTACTTTGCACAGCCAAGCAGAATATCCACAGTTATGTGAAATAAACTCAGAAGGCAGAAGTCCTTAAATGTTTCTGACATAAGTCAAACAGTATTTTTATAGGAATTTGAAAGAACCATTATCTATGAGCAGGTTGCGCACTGTGGTTTGTTGTAGTGTAATTCAGAGAGATCCAAATCTGGCAGCAACTGGGCTCAGACTAGGACTTTGGAGGAAACTTGTCAGCTGCCCTCTTCTTGTCTCCTGCCTGTCGTTCTTGCAGAAACAGCTTAGTTGAGTCTAAAGAGGACATGTGATGGTTTGGGTAGCATTAGCACAGTGTAAGAGCCGCTCTCTGTCTCGTGGAGGGAGAAGGCAGCTTTTTGGACTGTAACATTGTGTGACCTGGATCTCCCCTGTGGCTTTCTGTGTAGCTCTACAGGGTTTCTTGTTTCTTATTCTGCAGCAAGTAGTTGCTACCTTGACTTTTCCCTCTGAGTAGTGTAGAACGGCAATTCTTGGCTCTTTTAGCTGCTTTCGAATGAGAAAATAAGGAATAGGTTTTCTTCTAAAATACTTTAATTCTTAGCTTCTATTTCTAATAGTGTTCAAATTTTTAATTAAATATTACTATTTGTTTTGGGGAATTAAAAAAAAAAAAAAAATCTTATGGTGGGACTGGACCCAGGACATTGGGGGCTAATATTCGGCTTGATGTGGTTTCATATGGGGTTTTTTTGTAGATTTGGAATTCTTTCTTTCAAAACTCTAAATTTTGGGTTTGAGTTCTGTCATTCCTTTGCTGCAAGTTATAAACATACTTTATTTTATGACAAATCCATTGGTGATGCTGCTATTGTCTTTGGGCAGGAGAAAAATCCAAATCAGATGAATCAGTCCCCCCTATTCTTATCCATTCTCAAAAGATATTGCAGGGGTGGCATGCCATACTCCTGGGGAGAGAAGGTGGGCTCCCACACAGACTTTGCCACCTGACTGCAGCAGTGGCAGCCTTCAGAAGGCATCATATTGATGATTGTGATAAGGGGCCTCTAGAAGAAGTGGTTAAATATGTGGGCAGGGAAATGTTGATTGAAGGGGATCCTGGAGAGAAACCCTGGCATACAGAATCTCAGTGGGTGTAGGAGGTAAAGTTGCCATGGTGAGAGTGCTTGCTACCATTAGTACATCTCGGTGCTCTTCACGAAGAAGAGTGCTTACATACTGCTGTGCTCACAGACCATCCTGTTTCCAGTAGTGTAGACAGGCAATCTGGTTGGCATTTCTGTTGTAACCTGTTAATATTTAGAATTTATTGTGCTGCTGTTCTGCAAGGTTGTTGCTTTAAAACTGTCTTAGGTTAGCATTAGCTTCTAATTTTTTTGTTGTCAGGTGCAATTTTAAGATTCCAGAATTACTTTGTCTGTAAATGTCATGATTATACAATACTGAGAATGTAATCCTGTAAAGCAGCTGGCCAAGAGAAATTCTCTCTTTGTATCTGTTTGTTTAGTACCTAATCTCCAGAGCCCTTGAAGACCTACTGAATGAAAAGTTATACAGCACTAATGAAATGTGTCTTCACTGAATGTAAAAAGGGCTAAAAGAGGGATGTCCCCCAGCTTCACATTTTAGCAGACCTGAATTCAGGTCCTGTATACGTAGAGCTGGGAATGCTGGATATGAGCTTGTGACTGAATTCCTCTTGCTATATAGAAAATTAATCAGGTGAAATCTAAACCCATGGGAAACTCCAACCTGAATTTTGACAGAGCTGTGTTTGGGAAATGCTGCCGTTACCCCAGAGATCTGCAGCATCTGCACCAGGACTCTGGGGATCTAGATCTCCGCTCTACAGGAAACTGGAAAGTGCTGAAAGCCTTAGCTAAAGCTAGGTTTTCCAGACTCCCTGGTGTAGAGCTGAGTTTTGATTAGAGCTGGAGCTCTCAGGGCTTTAGGATTCCCAGGCTACAGCAGCAAGCCTTGGATCCCTGGCACAGCTGGCTGCTTCGGAGCCAAGCCCAGGGAGTGGGGGGTAGAGTGCCACTCAGTAGGGTAGGGGAAACATGCCTGGTTTGCCAAGAGTTCATCAAACCTCTCCATGTTTCAGGTGAAATATTTTGCGTTCAACAAATTGCCATTTTGCAACAAAAATCTGTCTCACTGAAATGTTTCCAACCAACTCGAGTCACAAGTGAAAACGAATGTGTGGAGCTCAGTCTGGTGCCAGTTTGTCCTGATCACATGTTCATCAATTAGTAAGGAAAAAATGTATGTATTTGCCAGTCCTTCTGCCGGGAGTAGCCCGGAGTGCTACTGTCAGGATTTAAAATTCATTTGTGAAGCTATAGGGGAAAAAACTTTTCAATATACCTGCCACTATTATGCTGGGCTCAATCATTCTTTCCCTTTCATGAGTACTGTGTTGAACAAGAAATGGTATAATGATATGTATATAGTTTGTATTAATGAGTGTGTCTGTTCAAATAATATGTAAACCATTACGTATGGATGGATGGATAGAGTTCTCTCTAAAAGGTAATCAGGATTGGGCCTGAGGATACTAGACATTGTAGTCATACTGGAGCACACAATCTTTATGAGAAAGAGCCTGCAGTCAAAATATGAGGACAGTAAGATTAACTGTGATCATTAATTGACTGATAAAATAGAATAAATGTCAAACAGCATCTCTCATGTTTGTATTTTATCATACTGAGCTGTTTATTTTCAGGTAGAATTAATTTGCAACAAACTGTTTCAGTAGTGCCTTGGTATTGCCGGGTGCTGTGCTTTTACTCTAATGGTACATGAATTGATGATGGACATTGCTATGCAAGTTGGTGTTTCGCTGAGTTGCTCTGAACAATTGTTATTTATGAGATTGCACAGAATGATCATGCTTAGCAGAACATATAATAGATAGGGGGGCGTTGTTTGTTTTTTATCCAAGAAAGCTACTAGTTATAGCTTGGAAGTCTATTTATGTGCTGACAGGTCATCAGGATCCAGTTGTAAGGACTGTTTGATCCAAAGCAGACTTCATCATTTCCACGCTGCAGAAACAGATGTTCCTGATTTTTTTGTTGTTGTTGTTGAGTCTGTTTATGTTCTTTGACTTATGTGTGAAAGAATTCTAGTGTTCTTAGGGCCTGACCTCTTTCCAAGTGCTCAGAATGAAGAGTTCACCCATTAGTTAACTTTTCTTTTTTTAAAAAATGGTGTGAGAAGTGTAGAGTTGAGATTTCTATAATGCTAGTAAACTGTTTTGCTTAATACATGCTTTTATCTTTCACCTCTTGAACCAGGTTCATCAGCACCAAGACAGGGGTGAGACCTTTCAATGCCAGCTATGCCCTTTTACCTCCTCCCGCCACTTCAGCCTGAAACTTCATATGCGTTGCCATCAACATTTCCTCAGGACAGAATCCAAAGTGAAGGAGGAAATACCAGAAACTGAGGTGAAGGGGTCACCACAGCTAAACAGTGACTCCTGCCCGGGACCACAGAGGGAAGGAGGTGGACCTGACCTTACGGGATCAGCATTGGTATCTAAAACACCTGATGTGGCTGGGCAATCTAGTGGAGGTATTCCACCATTACTAGTGAAAGAAGAGCCCAAAGATGACAATGGCATCTCAGCTGCACCTTTTGCTCTTAGCACTGTCGACAGAGCCCCCAACAACACAAAGCTGAAAGACTCCTCTGACTTTGTGGCCAATACGGCATCGGCACTGTTCAGCCAAGACATCTCTGTCAAGATGGCATCAGATTTTCTTATGAAGCTGTCAGGTAATTGAGCAGCAGGCGGCAGCATCAGCTGCTCCTTTATGGGCTAAGAAACACTTTGCCTTGGGTTTACTAAGTCGTGGAATTGCAGGGAGAAAAACATTGCAACTTCTTAACTTACAATTTCTTGTTTCTTTTGATAAGGAGAGGTGCGTGATGGAGGGAAGAGGGGAAACAGTGAGAGAAGAGAACGATTTTGTTTTTTAATTGCTGGGATAGGGAGTAAGAACTTTTTATCCAGGCTTTCATGTTCATTGATAATTACCTTAGCAAATCTCATTTGGTGTGTTTTTCAGGCATGCTTGAATACCTGTAGTTCTGGTTTGAAATCACTGAGGGTCACAAGGGCCCAGCATGTTAGAAAATTCAGCTCTTAAGTTCTCTGCCTTTACCCATCTGTTAAATAGGACCAAAAAAGTATTGGTCACCTTCCTTTCAGAGTAGTATTTGAGGTCTAACTAGTAAATATGTGTGAAGTATGAATGTTACTGCATTTCTTGATTATTAACACTTTAAAAAGGTAGTCCTAGAGATTCAGGAAGAGCAGCTTTTAAGTTTTTTTACTATTTTAATTGAAATCCATATCTAATGCAAAGCATGTGTTCATTGTGTTTTCTTTCACTGTCAGATTATTGCTGTAAGAATGATGTTCATATGTGTGACTCTGAAGTGGAGAATGTGTTTAGAGTGAATCTATTATATTTTATGTGCTCTTTTATTGATTTGACTGAACACTTCAGAATTGTGGACATGCTGGATGGATGTTCTGTACTAAATGTTTTTTAAATTGGCCTTTAATTTTTAAAGAGAAAGAAGTCAGGAAAAATGTCACTGAAGAAACTTCTGTTTCACAAGGAGATGGCAGTCCATATGGCAAGTTTTAGACTTTGGAGATAGAAGATACCCTTTTCAATAGAGAATAATTGGTCATCTTTTTCCTTTAAATGGAATGTAAGTTGCATTTTAGCAAATTTTATTGTCAGGTAGACTAAGGAATTAGCTCTGTCCTAATGCCATTGCCTTGGTGAAACCACAGCCATTTATTTTGGAAAAGCTTGATGTCCTCATCTGCCCAGACCTTTATACCTCTGGGACTGCAGTTCTGTAGGGAATTGAGTAGAATGGGTAAACACAAGAAATCAAGCTTGAGGCTTCGTGGAGCCAACCAGGAAAACGGAAAAAGGCTGAGGACAAGCAGGAGGTGAAATGGGCTGGCACAAATGGGTTGCTGTGTGGTTGGAAGAAGCCACAGAAACCTCCCCCATTGAAAAAAAAAAAAATAAAAAAAAATCTGTTGATATAATTTATTATTATGACCAAGAAGAAATGAGTGAGGATGAGTCTGTTTTGATTTGCTTGTACATTTTTTTACTTGTACATTTTTTAATTCAGTTTCAAATTTGGACTCTATAAAATCCATTTTTTACGTTGTCTGACAGCTGTCCCATATATGTTGTCATTCTGATATCTTATCTTAAATTTGCGTTGCTGTGCACTGAGTGGCTCTACACATCAACTGTACTGACCTGTAGATGGTAGTGCTCCTGATGACTGCATGTAGCGAGAATGAGAGCAGAAAGCAAGAGAGGGGGGAAAGCCTGAAAGCTGAGAAAACATAGAACATTTTGATGTGTTGTTTTTCATGTACCAGTTGATGGGGAGCTGTTTACAGTTTGGCAGACGGTCCTGTTTTCAATGTCTGATCTATTGGCATCAGAAAAAGGATACAAATGTACATTATTCATGCAAAAGGCCTATGCAGTTATTTTATGGTGACTTGCTAAAGGTCTTGAAACCTGACTTGTATGCACTGTTACCTAGCAACATGTTATAAAGTCACTGGGGGAGTGAGATGTATCTGTAATTTTGTATGTGTGCATATTTGGATGAAAATGTACTGCCAGTCACCAAGTTTACTACACAAGAAGAGCAATGTTAAAAGGAAAGGAATTTCTTTTCTCCTGAGATTTATATTGTGTTATATACATTTAGCTTATGCTTTCCTCCATACAGTGTGCATAAATTTAGAGCAGAAGTAGAAGTAATTCTCTTTTAGCAAGTTGGCTAAGTATTAGCTGCATTTTTTTGATTGCTTGCTGTGCTGAACCAGGTTCCTTTGAGTGATTTCTTTATTATGACACTCTCGTTAGGCCCATCAGAACTTCAGTTATTGGCCCTACCTTTTCAATGATATAAATCTTTTGACGTCTCAAATTGTATACGCCAATTGTAACAGCCAACACAGATTTGTCGAGACCAAATTATGTCAAAACAATCTAATTTTCTTCTCTGACAGGCCTTGTGGCTAAGAAAGAAGTAGTAGACAGATACATAGACTTTTAGAATTTGGCATTTATTCTTATTGAATATTGATGGTTTAAATGAACATTTATTTTTGCTTGCCAATGTTTATTGTTCCTCTTCTTGGTTGGTGTCAGTTTGTATACCTCCAGTTTCATGGCAGACCTCAGGGCCTCTTGGTTTTCATTTCTGTGCAGTTTCAGCCTCCTCTTTTTCCAGGTCATAACTCAGAGGAGTGCTTGTCTCCCTTCAGACCCAAGAGTTAGAGTTTCCAGAAGTTTAACTGGTGCAGCTAGGGTGAAAGACGGTACAAAATTGGTGCTTATTAACTATTACAAATTTTAAAATTGAATCTTAATAAGCATGTATATAATCTTGACACTCAGTATTATTTCTGATTGTGCAGTGCAGTACGTTTCCAGTCTAGATGAAGTGGATATCAGATGATTGGAAAACAGTATGTTGAAAGTAGTTCACAGTTGAAAGAGAAGAGTCGCAGTCAAGAGAGATCTGTAAAAAATGCGCAACTGTTCAACAAACAGTTTCACAAATACAAAACCAGGAACTGTTGTAGCTGGGCAACAGTTCTGTGGGAAAGGAACAGGAGTTAACAACGTCATACTGGTGCTAAAACAGCAGTTGTTGTACTGGGATGTATACAGAGAAACAGCCTCAAAGAAGGGGGAAACAGTCCTGCTCTTCTCAGTCTTGCTGAAGTCCAAGGTTTTGACTGTAGTTTATGAAGAGTGCAGACAGTTGGAAGGACTTCAAAGGAAGCACCAGAAATGACTGGAGGTTTAGAAAACACATCTAGTGAGGGTGGGTAAAAGGGGGTGAGGCTGTGAAGCCTATAGAGGAGACTAAGGAGAGTCACCAATAAGCCTTTAATGCATTAAAAAGTTTGTCACAGAGAGAAGGAAATAATCTGTTGGTGATTCTTTGTAATTAGGACAAAAAAATAACAGGTTTATATTGCTGTAGGGTTTAAGTTGACATTAGGAAAATCTTTCCAAAAGTTGAGGTAGTTAAACCTCCATGATAGTTTGGCTGGAGAGACTATGGCATTTCTGCCACTGGAGAATTTTAAAAATGGGTTAGATAACTACCTGTCAGATATGGTTGATCGCATATTAGGCAGTAGGATGGACTAGATCTGTGTATCTCAGTCACTGAACCATAGGACATCAGAAGCAGTTGCCAGAAATTGCAGCTGAACAAAAACAGGCAGCAAGCTGTAGAGAGCTGAGTCGGGGGAAAACAGGCACAAATGTTCAAAGTTAGACCTGATTTCGAGTGGGCCAGACATGGATTGTGATGACACTGGTCAAAATGGCCTCTGATTTTTTTTTTTCAGAACGGCTTAGGGTAGCTTTAGGTTTCAAGAGGTTGAGAAATACTGGTGTTGGTGACCTTCTGAAATCCCTTCAGCCCTAATTCTGTGCCATTGCTTGCCAGAAAGATTTTTAGTTACATGTTTTATGAAATAAGGCATACCACAAATCACCAAATGTAAATCTAAAAATAAGAACAGATCTTGAAATTTTTTCCAGATTCCATTCCCTAGGTCCTAGTTTAAGGCAGGAGATGCTTTTAAATTCACAAGAAATTTTAAAGGGTTCTCTGAAATTTTATTTAAATTTGGAAAGGGTTATTGTTTGTAAAGACAATTAGCAGATGACTCAACATATAAACAGAAGAATATTTAAGCATGGGCATGTTTTTACCTTCAGATCTTCCTTCTCTTATTTCAGTAGGACTGCTTGGAGGCTTTAAGTTGCCTGAGTACTTTGCTGGATCAGTGCTTTGCCAGAATGTTTTCTTCCCCCGGTCCATTAATTCCACATTGAAACTTTGTAACTGCATTCATATCTTAATTTGCAGAGTATTTGCTTTTCCTGTTTCAAAGGTTTCAGTGGCAGGCATTATACAACACATCTCTTTAAATATTGATGTCCTTCTACCCACTTCTAAGGCTTGATTTCTTTTGTAATAAAAAACAGCTTTCACAGTGATCCAAATTACAATGGCCAGTGTACTCTAGTGAAGGAACTACTGTGCCTATGTTATGTGCTACAGTTACTTTTCATAACATTCATAAATAAATGGATCCTATCAGAATGAATGGGATTCTTGCACTATTGATCTCAAAGGAATTCTGTGTGGAAACAGTAATTGTAAGGCATACTTCATTTCTGGCCTCTCTCCCCCACCCCTCTGTGGTCACCAAGTGCATTACTCTAGAAAGCATGTCTCTTCATCTTGTGACAGTGTATATTATCAAACATGCCCTGCTTCTGCAGTTCTTTTTATGTTCCCCAAGTTACTTGCATGGAAAAACTTTAAAATAGAGAGGAGGAAGGAGTCATAACATGCTGAGGGTTTGGGGCTGGCAATAAACTATGTTTTCTCCCAGTTCAAGTCATATCTGTTGTCACTATTGTGTGAGGAGTCAAATCTTTATTTTGGAAAATAATGCCACCATGGGATTTTGGTGACTGTCCAAAGTACTTGGACTTTGCATTCATGTTTTATTAGCTGATTCCATTAATGGAATAATGAAATAGTAAATCATCAGACAGCTACATACAAAGTATTAGTAGATAAGCTAAGTAATCACTTAGATTATTTGTTCTGTTTGGCCTTGAAAATTACTGCATTCCTTAAAGGTAACACAAGTAATTTGAAATGTTTTAGCATTTGCC